GTTTGCATTTCCTGCAGTTTTCACTGTAAAACCGAGTTGGAGCTAGAACATCCCATGTATATGCAAGTAATGTAGTTTAAAACTGAAAAGAAACTTTGTGTTCCCAACAAGCTAGCTGAAGAATGGCTTTCATGCACACTTGTCTCTCAGATCTGAGCATGTGGAGAGACGTTCATTTATGTAGCCCAAAGGGAAAAGGTTGCAGGAGGAACACTTACACTGGTTTTTCTGTCTGTTTCCTAATGATCATATGAATTCCTGCAGTTTTCATTAAAAAACTGAGGTGGAACTTATACCTCCTGATAAAAATATATGTAGTGCAGATTTCAACTGAAATAACCTTTGTGTTCCCAACAAGCTATATGAAGGAAGGCTTTCACACACACATATCTCTATGAAATGAGCAAGTGGAGAGACATTCATTCACTTAGCATGAAGGCATCTCTTTGAAGGGGAAATCCTTACTCTGAATTCTCAGTCTGTTTCCTTATGCCGGTTTGTAGCTCCTGCAGTTTTCACTTAAATCCAAGTTGACCTAATGCCTACCCATATATGTTTCTGAAGTGCAATTTCCAACTTAAAGGAAACATTGTCTTCCCAACATGCTAGGTGAAGGATGGTTTCACCCACAAACATCTCAAAGAACTGAGCATGTGGAGAGATTTTCTTTCATCTAGCACAAAGCAATATGTTAGCAGGAGAAACACTAAATCTGGTTTCTCAGTCTGTTTCCTAGGGCCGGATTGAATTTCCTGCAGTTTTCACTGTAAAACCCAGTTGGAGCTACTACCTCCACATATATATGAATGTAGTGAAGTTTCCAACTAAAAAGAAACTTTGTGTTCCCAACAAACTAGGTGAAGGATTGTTTTCACACACACTTCTCTCTCAGAACTGAGCATGTGGAGAGACGTTGGTTCATCTAGCATATAGGGAATGGATTGCAGGAGACATTCTTACCCTGGTTTCTCAGTCTATTTCCTAGTGCCTGTTTGAAGTTCCTGCAGTTTTCACTGTAACAACGGGTTGGAGCTAGTACCCCCTCATATACATGTGTATATTGTAGTTCCCAACTGAAAAGAAACTTTGTATTCCAAACAAGCTAGGAGAAGGAAGGCTTTCAAACAAACTAATCTCTCAGAACTGAGCATGTGGAGAACCTTTCATTCTTCTAGCACAAAGGAAAAGGTTGGCATGGTAAATATTTTCTCTAGTTTCTCAGTCTTTTTCCTAGTGCCAGTTTGTAGTTCCTGCAGTTTACACTGCAATACCTATCTGGAGCTACTATCTCCCCATATATATTTATGTAGTGCAATCTCCAAATGAAAAGAAACTTTGTGTTCCCAACAATTTTGGTGAAAGAAGACTTTCTCACACAATTGTCTCACGGAACTGAGCTTGTGGAGAAACGTTTCTTCATATAGCACCAAGGAATATGGTTGCAGGAGAAACATTTCCTCTGGTTTCTCAGCCTGTTTCTTAGTTCCGGTTTGAAGTTCCTGCAGTTTTCACTGTAAAACAGAGTTGGAGCTAGTACCTTCCCTTATATAAGTATGTAGTGTAGTTTCCAACTGTAAAGAAACTTTGTGTTCCCAACAAGCTCAGTGAAGGACGGTTTTCACACACACCTATCTATCCGAAATGAGCAAGTGGAGAGACGTTCGTTCATGTGTCATGTAAGGATCGGTTTCAAGTAGAAATCCTTACTCTGGATTCTCAGTCTGTTTCCCCATGCCAGTTTGTAGTTCCTTCAGTTTTCACTGTAAATCCAAATTGACCTACTACACACCGATATATATTTACGTCGTGTAATTTCCAACCTAAAAGAAGCTTGTCTTCCCAACAAGCTAGCTGAAGGACGGCTTTCAAACACAAATAACTCACACAAATGAGCATGTGGAGAGACATTATTTCATCTAGCTCAAAGCGATATGTTGGCAGGAGAAACTTAAAATCTGGTTTCTCTGTCTGCTTCCTAGGACCTGTTTGAATTTCCTGCAATTTTCACTGTAAAACACAGTTGGAGATACCATCTCCACATATATATGTATGCAGTGAATTTCCAACTAAAAAGAAACTTTGTTTTCCCAACAAACTAGGTGAGGGACTATTTTCACACATACTTATCTCTCAGAACTGAGCATGTGGAGAGACGTTCATTCGTCTAGCACATAGGGAACAGGTTGCAGGAGAAATTCTTACTCTGGTTTCTCAGTCTGTTTCCTAGTGCATGTTTGAAGTTCCTGCATTTTTCACTGTAAAAGCTTTTTAGAGCTAGTACCTACCCATATGTATGCATGTAGTGTAATTTCCAACTGAAAAGAAACTTTGTGTTCCCAAGAAGCTAGTTGAAGAATGGCTTCCACATACACTTAAATCTCAGAACTGAGTATGTGGGGAGACGATTGTTCATTTAGCACAAAGAAACTTGTTGCAAGGGAAAAACTCTCTCTGCTTTCTCAGTCTATTTCCTTGTGCCAGTTTTATATTCCTGCAGTTTTAACTTGAAACCATGTTGGAGCTAGTACATACTTATATAAATGTATGTAGTGTAGATTACAAGTAAAAAGAATCTTTGTGTTCCCGCAAGCTAGGTGAAGGACAGCTACCACAGACAATTATGTCTCAAAACATAGCATGTGGATAGAAGTTTGTTTGTCTACAACATATGGAGGGTTTTGCAGGACAAATACTTACTCTGGTATCCTCAGTGTGTTTCATAGTGCCGGTTTGAAATTCCTGCACGTTTCTCTGTAAAACCAAGTTTGAGCGTGGTTTTTCCCATATATATGTATGTAGTGTTGTTTCCAACTGAAAAGAAACTCTGTGTTCCCAACAAGTTAGGTGATAGACGGCTTTCACACACACTTTTCTCTCAGAACTGAGCATGAGGAGAGACTTACGTTCATCCAGCACAAAGGGAATGGGTTGCCGGTAAAACACTTACTCTGGTTTCTCAGCAGTTTTCCAAGTTCTGGGTTGATGTTCCTGCAATTTTCACTGTAAACTGAGTTTGAGCCAGTACCTGCCCATATATATGAAGGTATTATTGTCTCCAACTGAAAGATAGTTTGTATTCCTAACAAGCTAGATGAAGGATGGCTTTCACACAATCTTATCTCTTAGATCTATTCATGTGAGAGACAATCGTTCATCTAGCACAAAGGGAACGGGTTGCAGGAGAAACAGTTACTCTGTATTCTCAGTCTGTTTCTTAGTTTTCCTAGTGCTGGTTTGATGTTCCTGCACTTTTCACTGTAAAATCGAGTTGGAACAAGTACATACCCTTATATATATACATATATATATATATATATATAGATATGTATATATCTATATATATATATATGAAATTTAGTTTCCAACTGAAAAGATACATTGTGATCCCAACAAACTTTGGAAGGACGGCTTTCACATACACCTTTCTCTAAGAACTGAGCATGTGAGGAGATGACTGTTTATGCAGCATAAAGAACGGGTTTCAAGGGAAACACTTTCTGTTGTTTCTCCGTGTGTTTCCTAGTATTCGTATGAAATTCCTGCAATTTTATCAGTGAAAACCTATTGGAACTACTACAACCGTATATAGATGTATGTAGTGTAGATTACAACTAAAAAGAAACTTTGTGTTCCTAACAAGCTAGGTGAATGATGGCTTTAACACACACTTATCTTTCAGAACTGAGCATGTGGAGAGAGTTTCGTCCATCTACCACAAAGGGAACGGACTGCACAAGGAACAATTACTCTGGTTTCTCAGCTTGTTTCCTAGTACTGGATTGAAGTTACTGCAGTTTTCACTGCAAAACCTAGTTGGATCAAGTACATCCCCTTATATATGTATGTAGTGTAGTTACAAACTGAGAGGAAGCATTGTGTTCCCAAAAAGATAGGTGAAGCTTGGCTTCCACACACAATTATCACTCAGAATTGAGCATGTGGAAAGATGTTCGTTCATCTAACACAAAGGGAATGGCTTGCAGGACACTTACTCCGGTTTCTCAGCCTGTTTCCAAGTACCAGTATGAGGTAACAACAGTTTTAACTGTAAAACTGAGTTGGAGCTGGTACCTCCCCATATACATTTATGTAGTGTAGTTTCCAAATGAAAAGAAAACTTGTGTTCCCAACAAAGTAACTGAGGATAAGCTTTCACACACACTTATCTCTCAGAAATGAGCATGTGTAGAGACATTCGTTCATCTAGCACAAAGGGAAAGATTTGCAGGTGAAACAGTTTTTCTGGATTCCTAGATTGTTTTCTAGTGCCAGTATGAAGTTCCTGCAGTTTTCACTGTAAAACAGAGTTGGAACTCTAACCTCCCCGTATATATGTATTTAGTGTAGTTTCCAACTGAAAAGAAACTTTGTATTCCCAACAAGCTGCGTGAAGTACGGCTCTGAAACACTCTTTTCTCTCAGAACAGAGCATGTGGATAGACGTTCGTTCATCAAGCACAAAGGGAACAGGTTGCAGGAGAAAATTTTCTATTGACTCTCAGCCTGTTTCCTAGTACCAGTTTGAAGTTCCTGAAGTTTTCACTGTAAAATCGTGTTCAAGGTTGTACCACCACATACATATATATGTTGTGTAGCTTCCAACTGAAAATAAATTTTGTGTTCCCAACAAGCTATCTGAAGGATGACTTTCACACACACTTATCTCTCAGAACTGAGCATTTGGAGAGACATTCATTCAACTACAAAATGAAACGGGTTGCAGGTGTAACCCTTACTCTGATTTCTCTGCCTTTTTCCTTGTGGCGATTTGAAATTCCTGCCGTTTTCACTGTAAAACCGAGTTAGAGCTAGAACCTTCCCATATATAGATATGTGTCATATTTTCCAAATGAAAAGAAATTTTGTGTTCCCAACAACCTAGGAGAAGTTCGGCATTCACACAAACATATCCCTCATAACTGTGCTTTTGGAGAGAAGTCCGTTCATCTAGCACAATGGGAATGGATTGCAGGAGATACACTTACTCTGGTTTCTCAGCCTGTATCCTTGTGCTGGTATGAAGTTCCTGTTGGTTTCAAAGTAAAATTTTGTTGGAGCTAGTGCGTTCCCATATATATGTAAGTAGTGTAGTTTCCTAATTAATAGAAACTTTGTGTTCCCAACAAGTATGGTAAAGTTCGGCTTTCACACACACTTATATCTCTGAAATGAGGATGTGGAGAGACGTTCGTTCATCTAGCACAAAGGGAAAGGGTTGCAGGGGAAACACATTGTATAGATTCTCAGCCTGTTCCCTAGTGCTGGTTTTAATTTCGTGCTATTTTCACTTTATAACCGAGTTAGAACAAGTACCATCCGATATATATGTATCTACTGTAGTTTCCAAATGAAAGGAAAATTTGTGTTCCCAACAAGCTAGATGAAGTACGGCTTTCACACACACATATAACTCAGAACTGATTATTTGGAGAGACGTTCCTTCATGTAGCACAAAGGGAACGGACTGCAGGAGAAACACTTACTCTGGTTTCTCAGACAGTTATGCAGTTGTGGTTTGAAGTTCTTGGAGATTTCACAGTTAAATGTGTTGCAGCCTGTATGCCCCATATATATATATATATTATTGTATTGTAGTTTCCAACAGAACAGAAACTATGTTTCTCAACAAGCTAGGTGAAATATGGCATACACTCATATTTATCTCTCAGAACTTAGCATGTGGAGAGACTTTCGTCCATCTAGCACAAAGGGAACGGGTTGCAAGAGACACAATTTAACTGGGTTCTCCGTATTTTTCTTAGTGTCGGTTTGAAGTTCCTGCAGTTTTCACTTTAAAACCGATTTGGCGCTTATACCTCCCCATATAAATACACGTACTACAGTTTCCACCTGGAAAGGAATTTTGTGTTCCCAACAAGCTAGGTGAAGTACGGGTTTAACACACAATTATTTCTCAGAACTGAGCATGTGGAGAGACATTTGTTCATCTAGCACAAAAGGAATGGGATGCTGGAGAAATTGTTACTCAGGTTTCCTAGCTTGTTTCGTAGTACCTGTTTGACGTACCTGCCTTTTTCACTG